AATTAATTAGATTTTTTTATAATATTAAAATACCTTGATAATGATAAATTATTACAAGTATCAACAATTCAATTCGAAAGATCATGGAATGTTTCCCTGTGTTGAAAAATTAAACTGGGCAGCTAAGTGAAAGTAGCTTTAACAAACAACAGATACTACTTTCCCGAAAATTAACAAAGAAAAACTATAGAAATTTATTTTATTTAATTGTTTCGTTTCAAAACTTTATGCATCTACAATATTGTTATTGAAAACCAGCTACCATCTCTTTTATTAAAAAATATAGAATAAGGGATAGACAAAACAGAACGGGATTCTATTCACAAGGAGAAATTTAGAAGAGATGATACGAGGAAAATAATAGTACCATACATAAAGGGATTACCAGAAAAACTTAAAAGAATCAGACATAAATTCCAAATTTCAACAACAAACACATTAAAATACCTTGTGAATGCAAACTTTTTTATTTAGATGAAACATCAAGATCATTAAGTGAACGTTAATCTTATATCAAAAATAAAGAATTTGACAGATTTCAGATATGTAAACATAGATGGGAAAATAAACATATAATTCAATGGAACGATTCATGTATAGTCCTGAAAGAAACATATAGTAAAAAGAAAATAATCAAAGAAGCTGCTGTTATTATGTTAGCAACCATTATAAAACCTACTGTTTCGCAAATACCTCAGCAGAATTTAGTATGATCTGGTTACCTGATTCGTCCGATATCCGTCCCGGTACCCATTCATCCTAGATCTCAGATAAATATAAATAAATAAAACTATATTCATCCTTGCAGATTATTTACATAATATAGGACATGTCAAAGTAAAAAGAAACGTTAAAGACTACCTATACAATATAAACATACACATAAATATAGAAACAACATATAACATATCTAAGACATAAATTCGGAGACACTATAAAAACATACGATTCAGGTAATATCCCAGAGGAATGGCTATTGTCAACATTTGTAACGCTACCAAAAAAACGATCTGCGAAAACGTGCGAAGATTTCCGAACTATCAGTCTTATGAGTCATGCACTTAAAATTTTTCTTAAAATCATACATGCCAGAATTTACAAGAAATGCGAAGAACATGTCGGTGAAATGCAATTCGGATTCCGCAATTCCATGGATACACGTGAAGCACTTTTCACTTTACAAGTCCTACTTCAGAGATGCCGCGATGTCAGTTGTGGTGTCTATATTTGTTTTATTGACTACGCCAAGGCATTTGACCGTTGCCAGCACCAGAAGATGGTCACCGCCCTACAAAGAGTAGGATTGGATGAGAAGGACATTCGGATCATCATGAATTTATACTGGAACCAGCGTGCTCAAGTCAAGGTCGAAGACCAGCTGACCGACCAAGTGAAGATTATGCGAGGAGTAAGGCAAGGATGTGTGCTATCGCCGACTCTTTTCAATATATACTCTAAGGAGATTTTTACTGAAGCCCTCACAAACCTAGAGATGGGAATCCGAGTGAACGGTGAATACATCAATAATATCCGCTACGCCGCGCCGATGACACTGTGATACTAGCAACCAGCCTAAACGATCTGCAGGCCTTACTAGACCGAGTGCGAACTGTGAGCGTATCATACGGACTGAACCTTAATATTAAGAAAACTAAAATCATGGTTGTCAGCCCTACAAACTTAGATCCCGGGGTACTAATGGCAGGTAGCGAAGAGATCCAGAGAGTCGACAGATTCACTTACCTCGGAACTACCCTCAACTCACAATGGGACTACGCTCAAGAGATTAGATCCAGAATTGAAATGGCACGGTCTACATTTATTAAGTTGAGATCCTTGGGAACCAAGATGCGGATAGTGAGGTGCTACGTTCTTCCAGTGTTACTATATGGAGTTGAAGCTGGACACTGACGCAAGCTACTAAAAAACGAATCGAAGCCTTCGAGATGTGGATATACAGAGGATACTAAAAAAATCTCACGTGGACCATGTCACCAACGTTGAGGTCCTACAGCGCATGACAAAAGAAAAAGAAGTGCTTAATTTAATTAAACAACGTAAAAATCTTTTTGTCTGGTACGATAATTGTGTACATCTGAATTTGATTTCAATCTATTGATATTAGCTTTTGTATACAGAATACTTCTGTATATAAAAATTGAGGGAACAGTGAGTATTTGATATTTTCTAAAATGCTCTCTACACGTGTGTCTATATGGTAAATTAAAAATCAAGCGAATTATGCGCTTTTGGGCTATAAAAACTTTCGAGAAATTTGTTGTACTGCCCCATAGAATAATATTATATGACAAATGTGAATAGATGATAGCGTAATAAACATTAAGTATCTGTTCCGTTGTAAATAAGTATTTGAGTTGCAAAAGAGCATAGTATCCAGAATTAATTTTCGAACATACATGATTAATATGTGCCTCCCAGCTCATATTACTGTTTAGATGTAGTCCTAAAAACTTTGTAGTGTCAGATAAAGTGATAAAATCATTGTCGACTTTGACAGAGAAATTTTCCTTTATTGGAGTTTTTATATAAAATTGCATACATACTGTTTTACTCGAATTTACTATTAAGGAGTTTTTTCGCACCAAGACGTAAACTAAAAAAAACGAAAAAATGCTTCCTCAGCATTTTCTGCAGATGTCGCCAAAGTTGTGTCATCAGCATACAAAAAAATATTTTCCGTACTCATATATTTAGGCATATCATTGATATAACAAAGAAATAACAAAGGACCCAGTATTGATCCTTGTTGAACGCCAAGATCAACGTCATACAAATCTGATTGATAATGACCGATCTTGACATACATCTGTCGATATTCTAGATATGATTGTAACAATTTTAAAAAATTACCTCGAAATCCAAGTCCGTTTAGTTTACAAATTGCTACATTTAAATTTATGGAGTCAAAGCTTTAGTTAAATCAAAAAAGAGGGCTTCAACAAATTTCTTTTGATCTAATGAACTATAAATGAATTTAAAAAATGTTGTTGATGCACTCTCGGTTGATTTACCTGGAAGAAACCCATTTTGATATGAACTTATTATGTTATATTTACTAAGAAATGACAACATTCTTTTATGAATGCATTTTTCAATAACCTTACACAAGACAGTTGGTACGGTAATTGGTCTATAATTTTCTAACATAGTTTTGTTTCCTTTTTTAAATATTCGGGAAACGATACCAATTTTCAAATCAGTGGGAAAAATACCCATCTCTACAGATTTATTTATTAAACCAGTTAACAGTTGATTAATGTACATGCTCATATGTTTAACTAGCTTTGTGGAAATGCAATCAATACCCACTGAATTTACATTTTTTAAGGATGAATGATATGTAAACATGAATGGAAAAATAAAAATAGAATCCAATCTAACGATTCATTTATAGCCCCGTAAGAAATATATTGTAAAAAGAGATTTGCGAAACCAACTGTTTCGCAAATTCCTCAGCAGAATTTAGTAGGATCTGGTTACCTGATTCGTCAGATTCCGTCCCGGTGTCCATTCATCTTGGATGAGTTACTCAAACTCAAACTTAAATTATAACCAAATAAACAAAACTAAATAGTAGTTATTTTTGCACCAAGGGTGTTATTAAGATGATTACGTTAGGAGAGCAACATAATCCAGCTAGAAGGCCTCTAAGAAGACCGGTAACACCAGTGATACATACAAGATTTTATTTTACTGCTCTTACAAAAAATATATGAGTATTTTTAGTAGTCTATGACAGATAAAGTGTTTAAAGTAGTCTATGACAGTTGTAAATATTTGTACATTTGTTGAGTAAATTATGTAGTTGTCAGTTGGATTTATATTCAGTTATGGATTTACCAGAAAATGTTCGAGAAAGTGCAATAACGGCAACAGAAAATTTATTGCCGCTTTAATATAAGCCATTATACGACAAACAGTACAAACTACTTATTGAACGGAAATTGAAAAATATAATAGCTGACATAAATGAAAACCAAATAACATAATATTGGCTTACTTTCAAGAATTGGTACCTATGTTAAGTGTTGTTATTTTTTTATGTTTAGTTCACGTTTCTGATTGAATTATTTTAGTCCGAAAAGTATTGTGGACTAAATATTCCATTTTGAAATCCAAATTAATTGTTAATAAAAAGCTGAAATTTCCCATTTTTAAGGTTAAAAAATGTTACTTCTCCTAAATTTACACTTGAAAATTGTGTAAAATAAAAAAAATCGTTCTATAATATTTGTTTTCTTTTCTTATACAACAGGTGGCGTTATAGGCCATAACGCCCCCTTATTATGCCCTAGGATATAACAAGTGTGTTTATGGTAACCGTATCAAAGGTAAAATAAACAAATAATATACAAGTGAAAAATAAAATATTTAACGCTTGTCTTTAATGCTATCGACAGCTCCGTGTTTCCACCGCGACTAACTGAACCGAACTGAAATAGTAATTAGGGAGTCCCACATGTTTCTTTCTGATGTGATGAGTCTTATTTTGGGCTTAATGTAGTTTTTTTGATTTTCTCGGCAAAACCTCTTTAGGTTTTTAAATCCACTTTCCATTTTGTTTGGAATCAGAATTAATGATTAAATTCCATTGACTTTTACTATAACTAAGTGACATGTCTTTCATGATATGACATGATTATTCAACTTTTCTTGCATTAAATTGTGACATCAATTATTTTTAAACTATACATACATATTACCTAATTTTAATAACACTATACCAAGAAGTGCAAATAGTGATATATATATATATATATATATATATATATATATATATATATATATATATATATATATATATATATATATATATATATATATATATGGAGAGACTAAAGTGTGATAGTCCCTTAAATATATATCCTATATGATAGCTTTTTTCTAAACAGTGCTTGCGACATTAAATGGTTAAACGGGCTTCATGTACCTTAGTATAAAATATTCAACTAACTGTTAAATGTTTTGTACTATTTTAGGTAAAATTGAACAGCAAAGTAGTTAATGGATTTGGTCAAAATGGAGTGACTACATCTTTGTTATATACAGAAGATGAAACCGTTAGACCTTCAACTTTAAAGATTAAACCAGTTGAAAACTCCAATTCTTGCGGGGTATCTCAGCTTCTAAAAAGAGAAAATAATCTTTCTAGGCAACGATCTTTAGATCATTTCAATGAGGTAAGTATATTTTTCTAGACATTATTTTCTACATTTTCGGATCATAAATATATATATATATATATATATATATATATATATATATATATATATATATGTTTTTTTTTCATCCACAAATCATTCTGGCATCACCTATTGTATTTCGCTCCAATTGGTCCAGTAATGACGTACAGCACCTCAAATGATGGGATTTAACCAATAAAATACAATAAGATAATAAGAACAATCAAATACAAGAGCATGTCAAAAGGCCTTAGTTATATATCTTCGTTTCTATAAGTCCAATCGTGACGTACAGTATTTCAAATGATAGGATTTAACCAATCGAAAACAATGGAATAGAAAAATCAAATACAGCAACATGTCAAAAGGGCCGTAGTCACGTATTTTTGATCCTATTAGTCCAATCGTGACGTATAGTACCTCTAAGGATAAGATTTAACGTAAAGAATACAATGGGATAGGAAAAATCAAATACAGCACAATGTCAAAACGGCCTTAGTTGTGTATCTTCAGTTCTACACTCACCGGCAAAATTAACGGAAGACCTTAAAAATGGGACATGTTAGATGACTCGAATTTCCTAAACCTGTTGTCCGATTTTAGTGATTTTTTTAGTATGTTATAGGTATATTATTTAAGAATATCAATGAAATAATATTGTTGCTATACAGGTCAATGTCATTTTATACCGGGTGTAACAATCATACTGTGTTTTTTCCTTAAAGTTCGGAACACCCTGTGGAATATTCTAGCATATATAAAATATTGAAATTAATGCTCAATTATAGTCTCAGGCTTTCTTAACATTTTCTTTTTTGATTCATTTGCTTGTGTTGGATAATAAAAAAGTTAGGTGCGTTAACAACTAGCCATGTTTTTTATCAATAAATGCTCATTTTCTTCTTAGTTTCACCATCATATTTAAAGGAACAACCATAAAATCTGAGTATTTTTTCTCTAGTCTATATACTGTTTAGATAATATCATAATACGAATGTTGGTGAAGTATTTGGAATTTATATTACAATGGTAGTACAATATAAAACCTGTTTAAGAAGAAATAAAACACAAAGATGTCAGACTCAACAAAATACGGATTTTAAACGCATTAACTTTATTGTACAGTTTGAACTTAAATTGGTTTTTTATGCATTTTTTTGGCTTTAATAACGTGTGTTTTCCCTACAAGCCTTACAACTGCAGTTATTCGTCTTCTCATACTTCTAATACCGCTATCGATCAGTTGTTGGGCAGTCTCTCCCATTCCTCAATTAAAGCAATTGTGACTTCCTCTCTGTTTTGAATAGCAGGAACCCGTGCCCTAAGTTTTCTGCCTAGCATGTCCCACATATCCTCTATCAGGTTTAGGTCTGGGGAACAAGCTGGCCAATTCATCGTTGTTATACCCACTTGTAATAAGAAATATCTTACACAGTCTGCGACGTGTGGGCTCGCATTATCCTGCATTAAAATAAAATTTTCGCTAATATATGGTGAAAAAGGTACCACATGGTCTTGGAGAATATCTCTGATATACTTATCTGCTGTTAATGCTCCATCATCAATCACCACTAACTCTGTTTTTGCTCCGAAACATATACCGCCCCACACCATAATTGAACCTCCACCAAAAGGTACGGTCGTAGTAAAATTGAAAGGGGCATTTCGTTCTCCTTGGCGTTGATAAAATCTTTCTCTACCGTCGATGTAATTTACACAGAAACGGCTCTCGTCCGTAAAGAGAATTTGACTCCAGTGGTTATCATTCCAATTTTGATGTACTCCACCAAATTGTAGTCGTGCTAAACGATGGTGTCTCTGGAGTCTGGGAGCTTTTATTGGCACATATGACTTGAGACCGGCTTTTTTAAGTCTCTTTCTTACTATGCGCTCAATTAAATACAAGTTTGTACTTGTTGATGCCAATTGACCAGACTGTTTTGTAATTTGTATTCACAGAACAACAATCAGAGTTCGAGTTAGTACTAAATGTAAGTTAAAAATAAATTAAATAATTGAGTTGTTTTGATTTTTCTTTTTTTGTTTGTGATTTTTTTTTATTTTTTTTTTTATTTTTTATATTTTTTTTTATTGGATTTTTTTATTTCCTTGTATTACTTTTTTGATATTGTATATAATATGTATATATATTTTTTATTTTGTTTTGGTCTTTTTTTATATTAATTTGGTTTGGCCTATTTTTTTTTATTTATTTGTTTTTTTTGTCTCTTTTTTTTCATTTTTTTTCATTTTTTCGTATTAAAAGGTTTATTACATGATTGATATGTTCGCAAATTGCTTACACATTTTATCTTAATTCTAGGGTTAGTACATTATATTGTTTAAAGTTTATATTTACAATTTCTTATTAACTGATAAATACCATTAAAGATTTCTAAGTTTCCGGAGAAAATTAATTCATTTATGTGAAATGGGAAACACACATTTAGTTTTCGTAAGTTTTCATAAAAACATGTAATATTCCCTTGTTGGTTTCCACATTCTAATAGGATATGTGTTAAATCTCCATATTTACCACAAGTACAGTTTGGAGTGTCTGCTAGATCCATTTTGTACATTCTTGAAGGTGTTAGAGCATGATTTGACCTTAGCCTATTAATAGTTTTAATAAAACTTCTGTTGGACTCTGAATAAAACCACCTTTTTTTAAGAAGTGTGGGTTGCCAAAATTTAAATGATGACTGTCTTTCGGATTCCGCATAATTGGCTTGCCATTTTAATTTAAGCCGTTGTTTACTGTATACATATATATCTAACACCGGTAGAATATTGTTGACTATGGTTTCTCCGCTTGATAATGCTTCTTTTGCCAATACATCTGCTATTATATTACCCTTTATCCCAGAATGGCCTTTGATCCATGCGATGATAACTTCTCCGAGCTTTGAAACCTCGTAGTACAATTTTAATATCTCTATATCAAGATGAGTCAATTGCTTGGATTTATTTGTTTCGCATAATCTTTCTACTGCACTTTTACTGTCTGTAAATATTACACAGTTCTTCATTTCCTTTGTCAAAACGTGAGAAAGAGCAAACTTTAAACCCAGCATTTCGGATGTGTAGATGGAGGCTTCATCAGGTAGTTTATATTTATGATGTTGTCCAGAATACTGTTGGTATACTGCGCAAGCAGTGTTATTTCCCTTTTTTGAACCATCGGTAAACATATAATAATAATTAGGCCATCTCTTCTGAATTTCTGCGTTAAACATGGGGCCTTGGACATCATTGAGAAATTCTGTCTTGATTTTTATTTTTATTTCCATTACATTAATTGGTGTAGATTTCAGATACCCAAGGCACAAGCGTAGGCACTTATTTTTCTGTATCTCAATTTTTGTTAAATGAGTGTTTCATGCATTTCCATACAAATGACAGCTATAATCGAAAACTGGTCGTATCATAGATCGATAAAACATTAAACTAATGTTTTAATCTGACACAATTGTGTAATCTGACACAATTTTTAATTGGAACTTTGAATTGACCACAATTTATATACCCTTCTGGAGTTCTGTGTTTTCTAGAAAAGAAGCAGATTTCTGTTTTGGATTCTGATAATGTTAATCCATTTGATTCATAAAATGCATGTATTGATGAAATAGCTGTTGTTAAATTATTTTTAGAAACATCAATTGATTTGTCTGATGAGTAGAGTACCACATCATCTGCATATTGTAGTATTTTGGTGTTAATAGGAACAATGACTTCTAAATCTATATTATATAAAATATATAAAAGTGGACTTAAAATACTTCCCTGCAGCAGTCCTATATTAGACAGTCGAGGAGAAAAAAATTTCTCATTGATTTTTAAGTAAATCAATCTGTCTGAGTACAAAGTTTTCAAAAAGGATGTTATACCTATAGGTATCCCGACTGACAATAACTTTTGTTCAAGGATATCCAAATTTATATTATCAAAAGCAGATGATACATCCAGAAATGCAGCTGCAGTGGATGAGTTTTCCGTGAAATTGACTTGAAGTGTTGTTACGAGAGCAGTTATGGCATCTTGAGTGGATTTATATTTACGAAAACCAAATTGGGAGTTTGGAAGAATATCATTAAATTCTAACCAATGTTCTAATCTATTTTTAATTAGTCTTTCCAGGGTTTTAAGAAGACAAGAAGCTAGAGATATTGGGCGATATGAATTGTGATCGTCATCACGTTTGCCAGGTTTCCTTATAGGTATTATAATATACTCCTTCCAGCTTTCAGGAATTGGTGCTTGTTTCTGCCAAATATTATTTAGAATATTAAGTAGATAGATTTTATGTTCATTTGTAAGATTAGAGATCATGGAATAAGATATATTGTCTTTACCAGGAGCAGTATTATTATTTTGTTTGAGGACCCTTCTTAGTTCCCATAGATAGAATGGATAATCTAAGCTAAGGTTATCTCTAGAAACAGTGGCTATGGAGTTGTTAATGTCATTCGGAACCCAATCTGGTGAAATTTTTTGGTAAAAATCTGTTATCCATGGTTCGTCTGGGTCAATACATAAATTGGTTTGTTTGCGATTTTTGAAGCAATTAACTTTCCTCCATACCTCCTTAATGGGATTATTTTGATTTAAACTTTCACAATATTCCCTCCAGTTTTTCCTTTTCTTCTCCTTAAAGGTTTTCTTCGCTAATGCGTCCATCTTTTTATATTCTATTAGGTTACTTATTGTAGGATTTTGCTTATATTTAATATAAGTTAATTTTCTGCGTCGGGCTGTTTCCTGGCACGTCTTGTCCCACCAAGGTTTTGGAATGTAATGTTTGTTGTTAATACTCGTGTATTGTGGTATTGCTGTATTGGATGAGAAGTAGAAGTTTTCAATTAGATCACTATACGTCCTGGGTTGATTTAGAGATGTAAAGAGTGATGAATACAAATTCCAATCTGCTTTCTTGAAATTCCAGATTTTATGAAGTCTCTTGGTTTCTTTTTCCTTTGAGTGATAAATTGAAAAGATAA